TTACCACTTAAATTGGCCTCTGGAGCCAACGAGGAGCCCGGAGAGTTGATGGACGCTGTGGTTGGAATAAGGGGCCTCGCAACAGCACCGGGTCGTGCCGCTGCTGGTGCGGTTGTAGGGTTGTAATCGCGAGGTTGTAAATGTCTACTTGTTTTTTTCTGCTTTACTGGCTTGTTTGTTTTGAACTTTCTGTTTATTGTGATTTTTGTACATTTTCTTGTCTTTTTGTTTGTTTTAAATTGTGTTTATAGTGAAGTGTTGGCTAAAAGTCGGGGCACTGTATGTAAACCCAAATTGTAAGTGTGAAGTGAAGTAGTGATTTATGTGATGTAGACAGTACTATCTGTGGTTGGTGCAAGTTGTTGATAAAGGTTAGTGCAGACTTCCTGCTACGTTCCTACTCAGATAACCATGTTGCAGTTACCGGGACATAAAAAGAGATACGACACTGTTCTATGGTGGTAGAATGTAGTAAAAGAAATGTAGCAAATGAATGTCGCGTCCCGAGTTCCAGGTACTTGGTGCACAGCAAATAAACATGAGGTTTATAGGTACAGAAGGAAAAGGGTGATGGACAAAGAAAGGAAAAAAATCAATAAAAAAAAAAAAAAAAAAAAAAAAACACGAGAAATGCCCATAAGGTAGGTAGAGCCTGCAAAGGTTTGATGGATGAAAGAGGATGAAGGTTGTTAGTGAAAGACAAGCGGAAAAAAGTCTTGAAAACATGAAAAAATAACCTTCAGAACTAGATATATACGCAGCAGTAAACATGTTCATCTAAAATTATCTGCTACGAAACAAATGAAGAAGAACAAGGATTTTTTTTTTTCTTTAAGTCAAAAACGAATGATACCGATCAAAGTGGACACCGTTGATAATTGAGAGAGGCTGAAAAACTATGAAATTTCATTGTGTTGTCTGAAGGACTTAAGGACATTTATAGCCAACTGCCTTTTGTGCCTCGCTAACTAGACGCGCCCTAATTATCTTACAATGATGAGTGGCTTTAATTGTTAATCTTATCCTGATTAGACGCTGGAACCTCCCTTGTTCACGGATTAAAAATGACTGACTCTTCACGAGATCGAGCTCAGCTTAATTGGACCGGCCTCATCAACCCTTTCACTAATTGCTTGTTTCGTAAATCCCAACGATGTGCTTTTTCGAACTCACTTACCTTAGTCTGCTTAGCTGCAAAATCATAGCTAATTTCAATATCATAGGACTTTTTCGTAGTGGAACAAGTAGGCTTGCATATATATTCCTCTTATGAATGTAACATATTGTAATTACTATAACTATTATCGTTATTATCATCATTGATATTGTAGTTATTAGCATTGTCATCATCATTATCATAATTATTATTATTATCTATTATTATTATTATTATTATTATTATCATCATCATTTTTATCATTATTATGATCATGGTTATCGTTACTTTTAATTTTGTTAATTTTGTCATTATTATCAATATTATTATCATTGTTGTTGGTATTATGATTATCGTTATTATCATTAATATTATTATAATCAATATTATTGTCATTATTATTATTATCATTCTTGTTGTTGTTGTCATTGTAGTTGTTATTATTGTTATCATTATTATTACTATTTCTGTTATTTTTTCAATCATCCATCATCATTAAGTTTTACCAGAAACATGTCGTAGCCCAACTTAGATGTCATTGAAATTTGGTGGTGATCCATTACTATTACTATTATCATTATCGTTATTATTATCGTTGTTATTATCATTTATTCATTTTTATTTATCATTATGATAATCATTATCATCATAATTATTATTATTATTATTATTAGTAGTAGTAGTAGTAGTATTAGTATTACTATTATTATTATTACTATATTACCTGCTATCATTAATATCACTATCATTATGATATTGTTATCATTGTTATTATTATTAATCATTATTTATTATAATTATTACAATATTATTATTATTATAATTATTATCAATTATTATCATTATTATTATTGTTTTTTATTGTTGATGTTATTATTGCTATTATTATCATCATTACTATTACTACTAGTACTGCTATTATAGTTATTATCATAATCCTTATTGTTATTGGTATTCATTAGTATTATTGTTATTATCTTTATTATCATTATCATAATGATAATAATTATTCCCATTGTCATTATTTTTATTATTATTATTGTAATGATCATCCTCATTATTATCATTATCATTATTATTATTAAGATTATTCATTACATTATTAATCATTATTAATTATCATTATTGTTGTTGTATTATCATTTACATAATATAATGATAACAATATATATTTACTATCATTACTATCACATTTGTTATTTTATTATCAACACTGACATTGCCATTGTCATCTTCATTATCATCATGATTATTATCATCATTATCATCATCATCATCATCATTATTATTATTATTATTATTGTTATTATTATTATTATAATCATCATCATCATCATCATCATTACCATCACCATCACGATCACCGTCATACTCACAATCACTATTACCATAGCCATCATGATGATCATCATAATTATGTTATTATTATCATCATTATCAGTATTGTTACTGTCATTGCTATCATTATAATAGTTACCATTATTATTGTCACTATCATTATTATTATCATTATCATTATTCTTGATAATATTAATTGTATTATTATCATTATTATGATTATTTTTATTATAATAATGATAATGATTTTTATTAACATTATCATTATTATTAACAGTATCATTATCAATCTTACCGTCATCATTGTTATTATTGTTACTGTTGTTGTCAACATTATTATTATCATAATTATGATTGTTCCTATTATTATTATTACTATCATTATTGTTTTTATCATCATCATTATCATTATTATGATTATCATGCTTATTATTACTCTTATTATCATAATTATCATTATCATTATTGGTATCATTCTATTATCATTATCATTATCGTGATTATTATTGTTATCATCTTTTTTATAATTGTCATTATTATTATCATTAGTTTTATTACCATTTTCTCTCTCGTGAAAATGATGATAGAGAGAGAGAGAGAGAGAGAGAGAGAGAGAGAGAGAGAGAGAGAGAGAGAGAGAGACATATGTGTGTGAAGGGATTCTTTCCAGAACAGTAACTTCCCACAGGGAAGGCGGGTGCGTAATCAGTGGCTCTGGGCGTCGGCTGTTCATTTTAGTTGGCATTCAGTGGTATTGATTTATGGTCCACTGAGCATTTCTAGTTCTGGTTATGTGTTCTATGAAGGTAGGGGAAATGGGGCTTTGTAGATTATAAAGATCGCATGAATATATATATATATATATATATATATATATATATATATATATTTATATATATATATATATATATAGAGAGAGAGAGAGAGAGAGAGAGAGAGAGAGAGAGAGAGAGAGAGAGAGAGAGAGAGAGAGAGAGAGAAGAGAGAGAGAGAGAAAGAAAGTGAAAGAGAAGAAGAGGGAGAGAAAAGAAAGAGAGAGAGAACAGAGACAGAGAGGCAGAGACGGTCAGACAGATAAACAGAGAGATAGACAAATAGATAGACAGTTAGACAGATAGATAGACAGAGACAATTAGTGAAAGAAACCCATCGTAATGCGCCAGGGGGAATACAAAGCTTTCGTCTCTACATATAGGTGAAGTTGTGTGATGTTATAGTCGAAAGTTCGATGATAAAACCTGTTACTAACTGCTATACAAGAGTTGTAAAGCAGGTAAATGGGGGCTTAGAATATGGGGTAAAGTGATTATCAAAAAGTCCATGGTAATATTCGACCTAAAGTTCGTTTGGGGGGAAAACGGCTTCGGAATGTAGAGTGGTATGAGAATACGTGTATATTTTTATGTGAGATTGCCATGAAGATTTACGACTAAAATGCATTCATCACTTTTTCATTGGTTTAAACTTTCATTTATATCATAAACATTCATAGGTTCTAATTAATTCACTACATTCTCGTTACCAAGATTAAAATATCGTTGTTTATATCACAGATGAAAGTTTAAATCACAAAACATTTAATGAACGTACCTTTTGACGTGCGACCTTTCATTTCAACTCTAAACAAAAGCCTTTATGTTACTAACCGGCATTTCTAATAACGGATAGACAAGACTAAGTGCAATATAGAATAATTCGGGTCTTAGTCCTGATGAGTCTTAGTCAATCAGTCTTGGAATAACTCTAAGAAAAAAACTAGGAATAGGAGGAAATTGGAAGAATAACAAAGGAAGCACGAGTTATTTTTAGTAGTTGAGGCAATATTCTGTTCTGTGCATTGTTCTTTATGTTGTGTTCATTGAAAACAATCGAGAAGAGCCACAAAGACAAACACACACAAATACGCACACACACACATACACACACACACACACACACACACACACACACACACACACACACACACACACACACACACACACACACACACACACACACACATACAAACAAACATACAAACAAGTACAAACACACTCATATATGTCAATGAATCTATACAGTGAGAAAAGAGAAGGAGAAAAGTACATCGAGCAGAATAGCACAAAACGAACCACCAATGAGAATTACAGGAAGGAAGAAAGAGACAGCAAAAGGGGCAATAGGGGGAATGGATGATAGGGAAGACGGAAGAGGATTGTGGGTAATGGAATAAGGAGAAGTACCAGCTGTTCCCCTCTCCTGCAAGTCCCACGTGGTCCCCCGACATTCCATTGATTTTTCCATCAAGGATAAACTCTCCCCCCCCTTTTTATGTTTGTTTCTGCTTACGTGGATTCCACTCTTTTTTTCTTCTTCTTTTTTGTGCTTTTTTCTTTTTTCTTCTTTTTTTTTGTTCTTATTTCTTTTTTTTTTTTTTTTTTTTTTTTTCTTTGTGTTGTTTTTCTTTCTTTCTTTCTTTTCTTCTTTTTTTCTTCTTTTTTCTTCTTTTTTTCTTTTTTTTGCTTCT